TGATACAAGCAATCAGATATTCGCCCTTTCGAAACCTGAATTTGCTTTTTCGATAGATAATTCAATGCTCTTTTCAATTTCTGCTTGCCTGATACAAGAATCTAGATTTTTGCCTGCTCGAAATCGGATTTCGCATTTTCCATGAACAACTCGATACCTCTTCTCGTTCCTGCTCTCCTGATACACGCATTTAGATTTTCGGCTTTTCAAAACCAAATTTGCTTTGTTGATGACAATTCGATACCTCTTTCAATTTCTGCTCTCCTAATACATGAATCCGGATTTTTACCGGCTCGAAATTGGATTTCGCGTTTTTGATGGAAGACTCGATACCTCTTCTAGTTCCTGCTCTCCTGATACACGTATTTAGATTTTCGTCATTTCGAAACATGAATTTGCTATTTCGGTAGACAATTCAATACCTTTCTCAATTTCTGCTATCCTGATATAAGAATCTAGATTTTTGCCTGCTCGGAATCGGATTTCGTATTTTTGATGGATAACTCAATACCTCTTCTCGTTTCTGGTCTCCTGATACACGCATTCAGATTTTTGGCTTTTCAAAACCAAATTTGCTTTGTTGATGACAATTCGATACCTCTTTCAATTTCTGCTCTCCTAATACATGAATCCGGATTTTTACCGGCTCGAAATTGGATTTCGCGTTTTTGATGGAAGACTCGATACCTCTTCTAGTTCCTGCTCTCCTGATACACGTATTTAGATTTTCGTCATTTCGAAACATGAATTTGCTATTTCGGTAGACAATTCAATACCTTTCTCAATTTCTGCTATCCTGATATAAGAATCTAGATTTTTGCCTGCTCGGAATCGGATTTCGTATTTTTGATGGATAACTCAATACCTCTTCTCGTTTCTGGTCTCCTGATACACGCATTCAGATTTTCGGCTATTTCAAAACCAAATTTGCTTTGTTGATGACAATTCGATACCTCTTTCAATTTCTGCTCTCCTAATACATGAATCCGGATTTTTACCGGCTCGAAATTGGATTTCGCGTTTTTGATGGAAGACTCGATACCTCTTCTAGTTCCTGCTCTCCTGATACACGTATTTAGATTTTCGCCATTTCGAAACATGAATTTGCTATTTCGGTAGACAATTCAATACCTTTCTCAATTTCTGCTATCCTGATACAAGAATCTAGATTTTTGCCTGCTCGAAATCGGATTTCGCATTTTCGATGGACAACTCGATACCTCTTCTCGTTCCTGCTCTCCTGATACAGGCATTTAGATTTTCGCCTTTTCGAAACCCGAATTTGCTTTTTCGATAGATAATTCAATACTTTTTTCAATTTCTGCTATCCTGATACAAGAATCTAGATTTTTGCCTGCTCGAAATCGGATTTCGCATTTTCGATGGACAACTCGATACCTCTTCTCGTTCCTGCTCTCCTGATACAAGCATTCAGATTTTCGCCTTTTCGAAACCCGAATTTGCTATTTCGATAGATAATTCAATACTTTTTTCAATTTCTGCTATCCTGATAAAAGAATCTAGATTTTTGCCTGCTCGAAATCGCATTTCGCATTTTCGATGGACAACTCGATACCTCTTCTCGTTCCTGCTCTCCTGATACACGCATTTATATTTTTGCCATTTCGAAACCCGAATTTGCTTTTTCGATAGATAATTCAATACTTTTTTCAATTTCTGCTATCCTGATAAAAGAATCTAGATTTTTGCCTGCTCGAAATCAGATTTCGCATTTTCGATGGACAACTCGATACCTCTTCTCGTTCCTGCTCTCCTGATACACGCATTCAGATTTTCGCCTTTTCGAAACCCGAATTTGCTTTTTCGATAGATAATTCAATACTTTTTTTCAATTTCTGCTATCCTGATAAAAGAATCTAGATTTTTGCCTGCTCGGAATCGGATTTCGTATTTTTGATGGATAACTCAATACCTCTTCTCGTTTCTGGTCTCCTGATACACGCATTCAGATTTTCGGCTTTTCAGAACCAAATTTGCTTTGTTGAATGACAATTCGATACCTCTTTCAATTTCTGCTCTCCTAATACATGAATCCGGATTTTTACCGGCTCGAAATTGGATTTCGCGTTTTTGATGGAAGACTCGATACCTCTTCTGGTTCCTGCTCTCCTGATACACGAATTTAGATTTTCGCCATTTCGAAACCCGAATTTGCTTTTTCGATAGATAATTCAATACTTTTTTCAATTTTTGCTATCCTGATAAAAGAATCTAGATTTTTGCCTGCTCGGAATCGGATTTCGTATTTTTGATGGATAACTCAATACCTCTTCTCGTTTCTGGTCTCCTGATACACGCATTCAGATTTTCGGCTTTTCAAAACCAAATTTGCTTTGTTGATGACAATTCGATACCTCTTTCAATTTCTGCTCTCCTAATACATGAATCCGGATTTTTACCGGCTCGAAATTGGAATTCGCGTTTTTGATGGAAGACTCGATACCTCTTCTCGTTCCTGCTCTCCTGATACACGTATTTAGATTTTCGCCATTTCGAAACCTGAATTTGCTATTTCGGTAGATAATTCAATACTTTTTTCAATTTCTGCTATCCTGATACAAGAATCTAGATTTTTGCCTGCTCGAAATCGGATTTCGCATTTTCGATGGACAACTCGATACCTCTTCTCGTTCCTGCTCTCCTGATACAGGCATTTAGATTTTCGCCTTTTCGAAACCCGAATTTGCTTTTTCGATAGATAATTCAATACTTTTTTCAATTTCTGCTATCCTGATACAAGAATCTAGATTTTTGCCTGCTCGAAATCGGATTTCGCATTTTCGATGGACAACTCGATACCTCTTCTCGTTCCTGCTCTCCTGATACAAGCATTCAGATTTTCGCCTTTTCGAAACCCGAATTTGCTTTTTCGATAGATAATTCAATACTTTTTTCAATTTCTGCTATCTTGATAAAAGAATCTAGATTTTTGCCTGCTCGAAATCGCATTTCGCATTTTCGATGGACAACTCGATACCTCTTCTCGTTCCTGCTCTCCTGATACACGCATTTATATTTTTGCCATTTCGAAACCCGAATTTGCTTTTTCGATAGATAATTCAATACTTTTTTCAATTTCTGCTATCCTGATAAAAGAATCTAGATTTTTGCCTGCTCGGAATCGGATTTCGTATTTTTGATGGATAACTCAATACCTCTTCTCGTTTCTGGTCTCCTGATACACGCATTCAGATTTTCGGCTTTTCAAAACCAAATTTGCTTTGTTGATGACAATTCGATACCTCTTTCAATTTCTGCTCTCCTAATACATGAATCCGGATTTTTACCGGCTCGAAATTGGAATTCGCGTTTTTGATGGAAGACTCGATACCTCTTCTAGTTCCTGCTCTCCTGATACACGTATTTAGATTTTCGCCATTTCGAAACATGAATTTGCTATTTCGGTAGACAATTCAATACCTTTCTCAATTTCTGCTATCCTGATACAAGAATCTAGATTTTTGCCTGCTCGAAATCGGATTTCGCATTTTCGATGGACAACTCGATACCTCTTCTCGTTCCTGCTCTCCTGATACACGCATTTAGATTTTCGCCTTTTCGAAACCCGAATTTGCTTTTTCGATAGATAATTCAATGCTTTTTTCAATTTCTGCTATCCTGATAAAAGAATCTAGATTTTTGCCTGCTCGGAATCGGATTTCGTATTTTTGATGGATAACTCAATACCTCTTCTCGTTTCTGGTCTCCTGATACACGCATTCAGATTTCCGGCTTTTCAAAACCAAATTTGCTTTGTTGATGACAACTCGATACCTCTTTCAATTTCTGCTCTCCTAATACATGAATCCGGATTTTTACCGGCTCGAAATTGGATTTCGCGTTTTTGATGGAAGACTCGACACCTCTTCTGGTTCCTGCTCTCCTGATACACGTATTTAGATTTTCGCCATTTCGAAACATGAATTTGCTATTTCGGTAGACAATTCAATACCTTTCTCAATTTCTGCTATCCTGATACAAGAATCTAGATTTTTGCCTGCTCGAAATCGGATTTCGCATTTTCGATGGACTTCTCAACACCTCTTCAAGTCGCTTCTGCTCTCCTGATACATGAACTTAGATTTTGGCATTCTGAAAAAACAAATTTGCTTTTCGATAGGCAATTCGTACCTACCTTTTTCAATTCCTGCTCTCCTATTTAATACATGAATCCGGATATTTATCTCTTAGAAATCGGATATCACATCTTTGATAGTCGATAGCTATTAATACCTACCTCTTCCCGTTTCTGCTCTCTTGATATACGCATTAAGATTTTCGCATTTTCGAAACCCGAATTCGCTTTTTCGATATATAATTTAATAGTTTCTTCAATCTCTGCTCTCCTTATACGAGAATCAAAATTTTGTCGGTTCGAAATCGGATTTCGCGTTTTTGATGAATAACTCGATACCTCTTCTGGTTTCTGTTCTCCTGATACACGGATTCAGATTCTCGCCTTTTCGATAGACAATTGATACCTTTTTCAATTTCTGCTTTTCTGATACAAGAATCTAGATTTTGGTCTACTCGAAACCGGATTTCGCATTTCTGATGGATAACTCAATACCTCTTCTCGTTTCTGCACTCCTGATACACGAATTTAGATTTTTGCCATTTCGAAACCCGAATTTGCTTATTCGATACATTTTTTTAATTATGGTGGCCAGATCCATGCATTTAGATTTTTGCCTGCTCGGAATCGGATTGCGTATTTTTTGATGGACAATTAACTCAATACCTTCCTCTCCTCGTTTCTGCCCTCCTGATACACAAATTGAAATTTCTGCCTTTTTGAAACCCGGATTGCTTTTTTGATAGACAGTTCGACACTTATTTCAATATCTGCTCTGCTGATACATGAAACCAGACTTTTGCCTGCTCAAAATCGGTTTCGGCAATTTTTATGTAAAAAAGAACTCGATCGTCTTTGGAACAGTACAAATGATTTCGTGGTCGTGGGATAATAAAATAGTTACTTATCTCAAAAATATTTATTTAAAAAGATACCTATTAAAAATAAAAATATTTACAAGTTAGTCAAACAATATTCATTTCAATGGGATATTATACATACAAATTGTTCAATAAATATCATACAATAAATACCTAATAAATAAAACCGGGATCTCTACCAAACCTGGTCTTCAGAAAATTTTACAACTACATTTTGATGTTCTAGTAACACAACTACAACAAAGCTACTCAAGAAATTATGTACATCGAGGTGATGATCAAAATTATTTTACAAAAAATATGATGAAATTGTGACTATAATATTTATAACCAATCAATCTATGAACTCTTGCAATAATTACAAAAGCTCTGTTCGTTCCTACGTTCCTACCTGTTTCATGAGCTAGGCATTGATAGGTATTTTTCCTACTCATTTTATAATTCTTAAGTACCCACCCAGTCTATCAATAACCAATTATATGGTACCTTTTTCGATAGTTCAAATCTTGTATCTTTTCCAAAACGTTTTAAACTCGATAGAAGTGGTGTTATCTCTATTTCTGCTAGATGAAGGAATTCAATCTGAAGGCGACAATATTTATTCAAGGTGAAACCTAACTATTGTTGAGCCGTTATTCCTTCCATAGTCGCACTGTTGTCTATTTCGCAATATGAAGTTGATTACTACGAAAACGGTATTTACCATTGTCATTTCCCCTGCATTATTGAAATTCAATTGGATCATAGAATGGGAAATAGGGTGCCAATACAAAATAATGATGTCATTGGACTAATTACTTCAATAATTGTGACCACTGTTGAGAAAAAAAATGTTGAAGACTAGAGAATACAAAAAACACCTCTGAACCATATAGAAAACTAGAACAATATACAGTGGGTACCTACAAACGAAAATTGTCAGGCCATCAAGTACCATTATCTCAGGAATTAAAGAAGATGTCAAAATTACATCTTACAATATATTTTTGTATACAAGAATTGTTACCCCCTGTCTCCACCTACTTCGATTTAAAAACCTGAAATGGCAACATAACCAACTTCCAATTTTTCTGAAAATTATTGTTCATCTTTCACCGCATCTCTGAAAAAGCTATAAGCGATATACCCTCACCATTGTTCCTTGTATTATTATAGAACTGATAAAAGGAAGATATTTACTGGATGATGAATTCAGTGGAATACAGAAGCATCTAACTTTCATATCTTTCTGACACTTTTGACAGCTGAAAAACTTTCATGAGTTTCGACCTATGTATCTTGATCAAAAATTCGAGTGGTCCACTTGTTGCTCTAAACATTTCATATGATTTCGAACGATCCAGATTCATTGTCCCTCCCAGAGATGATAGTTTTGTTGACAAGTCCAAGTAACAAAGTAACAAACAACCATACGATTTGTCATCGAGAAAATCATGAACACTACGGGGTATTGGTGATGGATATATAATTGTGTCGAAACATTTGGAGGAGCCTTTCAGAAATTGTTAAGGGTATGTTGTCATTAGAGGTAGAGATTCTTGAAACACATCAAGCAATTAATCTTACATTATTATGCAACTGTTTTACCGCACAAAATATGTGAATTCTTAATGGATTGCAGAATTAGCTACATTGAGCATTTTTTGAAATAGGAGTAGTATATTTGAAATAAAATCATAGATGAATCACTTTATATTATCATTAAAACGAATCCCCATGTGAATATGGAACAAATGACCCCCGCACGAACTTCCAGTAAGTTGTAGTATTCGATGAACTGATTGAACGTGCAGAATCGCAACGTTCCTCAATGGATAGATTTTGAAATACATGGCGTTACAGTTACAGATCGGTAATTATTATTTGATTGTTTTATCGGGAAATGAAGGTGCCAAGTGCCATTAACTTATCTTCATATCACTTGGTAACTATCAAGATTGTTCAGATTACGTCGTTATTTACAGGTTGACATATAAAAATATGTTGGTGATGTCTGAAAATTGAGAAACTGCGATTCTGCACGTTCATGTTCAATCAGTTCATCGGATATCTACTCCAACAAACTGAAAATTCAGGAAATTTCACCGAGAACCATAATTTTACCTAAAAAAAGTGTGGGGTCATTTTTTCAGATAAGTTTTAGCATAATTCACACATCGCAGTATATTTTTACGTTCACGAGAAAATGATTTCCGTTGTCCCACACTGCATAAGTAACAAGAAAAACAAAAACAACAAATTAGCCATCAGGAAAGTCATGAAACGAGTAACTCGAATACTGCGTGGCATTGTTGACAACACGTGCAAAATCGCAGTTCTTCAATGGACATATTTTGAAACACAGAGCGTTAGAGTTACAGATCGGTAATAATTATTTGATTGTTTTATCGGAATCAATCAGTTCATCGGATATCTACTCAGACAAACTAAAAATTCAGGAAATTTCACCGAGAACCATCATTGTACCTAAAAAAAATGCGGGGTCCTTTTTTATGATAAGTTTTAGCATAATTCACGCATCGCAGTTTGTTTTTACGTTCCCGAGAGAATGGTTCCCGTTGTCCCATACTGCACAAGTAACAAGAAAAACAAAACCAACATATTAGTCATCAGGAAAGTCATGAAACGAGTAACTCGAATACTGCCCGGCATTGCTGACAACACGTGCAAAATCGCAGTTCTTCAATGGACAGGTTTAAAAACACAGAGCGTTAGAGTTACAGATCGTTAATAATGATTTGATTGTTCTATCGGAATCAATCAGTTCATCGTATATCTACTCCAACAAACTGAAAATTCAGGAAATTTCACCGAGAACCATCATTGTACCTAAAAAAAGTGCGGGGTCCTTTTTTCCGTTAAGTTTAAAAGATTGAAAATCATAAAACGAGTAACTCGAATACTGCCCGGCATTGCTGACAACATGTGCAAAATCGCAGTTCTTCAATGGACATGTTTGGAAACACAGAGCGTTAGAGTTACAGATCGGTAATTATTATTTGATTGGTTTGTCGGAATCTGAAGATGCCAAGTGCATTAATTTTTCGATCATATCAACTTACCTTCATATCACTCAGTAACTATTCTGATGGATTGCGTCCTTATTTACAGGTTGACATATGAAAATATGTTAGTGATGTCTGAAAATTGAAGAACTCTGCGATTTTGCACGTTCACGTTCAATCAGTTCATCGGATATCTACTCCAACAAACTGAAAATTCTGAAAATTTCACCGAGAACCATCATTGTACCTAAAAAAAATGCGGGGTCCTTTTTGTATGATAAGTTTTAGCATAATTCACGCATCGCAGTTTGTTTTTACGTTCCCGAGAGAATGGTTCCCGTTGTCCCATACTGCACAAGTAACAAGAAAAACAAAACCAACATATTAGTCATCAGGAAAGTCATGAAACGAGTAACTCGAATACTGCCTGGCATTGCTGACAACACGTGCAAAATCGCAGTTCTTCAATGGACAGGTTTAAAAACACAGAGCGTTAGAGTTACAGATCGTTAATAATGATTTGATTGTTTTATCGGAATCAATCAGTTCATCGGATATCTACTCCAACAAACTGAAAATTCAGGAAATTTCACCGAGAACCATCATTGTACATAGAAAAAGTGCGGGGTACTTTCATCCAATAAATTTTAGCATAATTCACGCATCGCAGTTTGTTATTAAGTTCCCAAGAAAATGGTTTCTGTTGTCCCACACTGCACAAGTAACAAGAAAAACAAAACCAACAAATTAGCCATCAGGAAAGTCATGAAACGAGTAACTCGAATACTGCGTGGCATTGTTAACAACACGTGCAAAATCGCAGTTCTTCAATGGACATATTTTGAAACACAGAGCGTTAGAGTTACAGATCGGTAATTATCATTTGATTGTTTTATCGGAATCAATCAGTTCATCGGATATCTACTCCAGACAAACTAAAAATTCAGGAAATTTCACCGAGAACCATCATTGTACCTAAAAAAAATGCGGGGTCCTTTTTTATGATAAGTTTTAGCATAATTCACGCATCGCAGTTTGTTTTTACTTTTACGTTCCCGAGAGAATGGTTCCCGTTGTCCCATAGTGCACAAGTAACAAGAAGAACAAAACCAACATATTAGTCATCAGGAAAGTCATGAAACGAGTAAGTCGAATACTGCCTGGCATTGCTGAAAACACGTGCAAAATCGCAGTTCTTCAATGGACAGGTTTAAAAACACAGAGCGTTAGGGTTACAGATCGTTAATAATGATTTGATTGTTTTATCGGAATCAATTAGTTAGTTCATCGGGTATCTACTCCAACAAACTGAAAATTCAGGAAATTTCACCGAGAACCATCATTGTACCTAGAAAAATTGCGGGGTCCTTTTTTCCGTTAAGTTTAAAAGATTAAAAATCATGAAACGAGTAAGTCGAATACTGCCCGGCATTGCTGACAACATGTGCAAAATCGCAGTTCTTCAATGGACATTTTTGGAAACACAGAGCATTACAGTTACAGATCGGTAATTATTATTCGATTGGTTTGTCGGAATCTGAAGATGCCAAGTGCATTAATTTTTCGATCATATCAAATTACCTTCATATCACTCAGTAACTATTCTGATGGATTACGTCGTTATTCACAGGTTGACATATAAAAATATGTTAGTGATGTCTGAAAATTTAAAAACTCTGCGATTTTGCACGTTCACGTTCAATAAGTTCATCGGATATCTACTCCAACAAACTGAAAATTCAGGAAATTTCACCGAGAACCATCATTTTACCTAAAAAAGTGCGAGGTCCTTTCTTCAGATAAGTTTTAGCATAATTCACGCATCGCAGTTTGTTATTACGTTCCCGAGAATAGGGTTTCCGTTGTCCCACACTGCACAAGTAACAAGAAAAACAAAACCAACATATTAGTCGTCAGGAAAGTCATAAAACGAGTAACTCGAATACTGCCCGGCATTGCTGACGACACTAGAACCGGCCGCAGAAGTAGTACCGTCAGAGGGCAGAGGTACGGGCAGCGGCCGCGCCGGTTTGCGCGGCCGGTACGATCCCCGCGAGCCCGCGTTCGGCGGCCCGCCTGGCTTCAGGCGCGGCCGGCCGGGGCCCCTGCGCGCGCCGGACGAGCCTTGGCCGGCGCTACTCGAGCCGGCGCCTGCCGGACACTCGGCCTGGGCGCCGGAAGGGGAGGATTGCGAGGAGGATATCGACGAGGCGGAGTCCGTCGGGGCGGCGTCTGCAATGGGAGAGCAAGTTGGAAAATTGAAGGCATCAGAATGAATTTTTGGATGTATGATTGATATCCATCATACAGGACGTGGAAAGAAATTCTGGATTGAGAAAACCCTAATCACGAATCTCCGATTGAGGTCTATAAAAATAACAAGTTTCCATCGTTCAAGTTAGAACCCCTTGATTGGGTTAAAGTATTGGACAACAAAATCCTCTGAAGTAGAGAATTTGCATCCTCCTTCATATAAAGATATGCATATATCATTCTGAATATTCAACAGAAAACAACTTCTCTCCTGGCCATTTGCCACGTCGAACATTGAATTATATCTGTTGAATATCCAAAAAGAGAACTTCGCTTGTCACGATATACAAGACAACACGAGTCCAGAAAAACGATATAATTATAATATATTTCGAAGTTGAAACAGGTGTTTGGTTAGAATGACATCCTCTCGTCACTCTCGTAGGTTCATAGTGATAACTACATATCCGGGTTTTTTCAAACTGTCAAATTTTGATTTAACAGTGCACCCTCTATCGGCCAGTAGAATCAGTAAGTGTATTTGTCCAGTTATCATCCTCGACGATGTTATCACATTCGGATTATTGAAATCTGGTTCAATCCGGAAATTGGACAAAATGACTTTCATCCACTTTTCATTCTGATGCATTCAATTATCATGCACCTACTGATTTCAGAGATATATCTTTTTACGCCCAAAAAAATCGGTTAGGTACATAATCAATTGTTTTGGAACTTGCGATTCATGGAATCGATAATTTTTTTACGAAGGTCGATCGAAAATTATATCTTCCAAAGCTTATATCCAGAAGTGATTAATGATAGATAATATATCAAATCGATATATTCCATTAATATTTTGAAATGAAGATCACTATTTGTAGTTTTATGATTTAGATCTGGAACTTTTTATATATTTGTTACTGTGAAAATATTATAATTTTGTTCCTTATGTTCCTTCGTTATTGAGCATTTATTTTTCAATTTGATCATTCTTGATGAAATTTTATACTGTTTCGTTGCATTGACGATATTCTTCAAGTTACCTCGTAATGGTACCTAATCTGAAAGAAAAGAAATTTGGCGAATCGATTAATTTCTACCTTGATTTGAAAAAATCACTAATTGAAGTACAAACTTTCAAGAATTTCCACGAAACTGTCATATTCAATCAAGAAAATAGATACGAAGTTCACTTACCGTGGCTTGAAGGTCATCCTATACTTTTGAAAAATAAGGATTTAGGATGTAGCGGATTACAATCTGATAGCTGGAGTTTATTGAGTTTAAATAAATGTGATGACTACGAGAAAGTATTGAACGAATGGGAGGAGTTAGGTTTTATTGAAAAAATTACCGATAAAATAGGAGAAGGAAATGAATCACATTATTCACCACATCATATGGTGGTAAAGGAATCAAGTTGAACCACCAAAATACGTCCTGTATTTGATGCTTTGGCTAAAGACGCATTTGGAAATTCTTTCAACAGCTATTTGGAAAAAAGACCAATTCTGTTAGAATTGATTTTTCCACTATTGATCAATTTTCGTACCAAACTCATTGGCGTAACTTCAGATATCAAAAAAGCTATTCTACAAATAAGTGTAACTGAGAAGGATCGAGATTTTTTATGATCTTTATGATGGAAAGATTATTCAACTCAACTAACTGAGGTATACAGGCACTGTAGGTTGTTTTTGGAGTTGAACTTAGTCCATTCATTTTATCTGCCACAATTATTCATCATCTGGATAAATAAATCTCCAGTACAACTAAGAGATACTGCAGAAAAACTTGAGAATTCCTTTTATGTGGACAATTGTGTAACTAGTGTGAAAAATAAATCAGAATAAAAAAAGTATTGATGAATCAAAATATTTGATGTCCCAGGAAGGGTTCAATCTCCGAGGATGCAATTATACGTCATTATCAGACAAAAATTCATCTCAAGAGCTGTTAGGCATACTCTGTAATATTCAGAAAGATTCACTTTATTGCAACATACATTCTCCAAAACAACTTCAAACTCCTCGAACTTAACGAGGTTTGCTGTCAATATCTCAAAAATTGTTTGATATCAAGTCCAGGGACGTTCATTCTTAAGTTATTGTTACATGAAACGTGGAAGTTAAAAATCAGTTGGGATCAAGAATTGCCAACAAATATTTTGAAAACGTTCGAGATCTAGCTGGAGAACATAAATCTGATAAGTCTATCATTCTTGAACACAAAGTGGCTCTCTGAATCCCGAAAACGTAATATAAGGAAGGAAAATATCTTCGCAGCATACGGAGGGATTTTTCAAAAACAATGTAACCTAACTCGGCCTGAATGAACATACTTCCATTAAAGTATATTTTTCAACAAGGCATCGTTCGTGTGTGTTCCAAGACTGTGGTTGAATCTAAATATGGGCCGAAAGAAATATGGGTGAACCGAAATGTCGGCGAACCGAAATTTGGGCCCAACGAGCTATTCCCCTCATTTCAATACTGTCTGTAGGTAAATTCAAAATTAACTGATGAAACCATTCTGCCACTCATTTGACAAAGCACGATTTCTATGAAATAAATGAAAAATATGATTTATTCGATTAAAAAGTGAATTTTTTACTCATACTGATTTTTTTCCACGAATATGGAAATTATGAAATACAAAATCACTCATTTTCATTATTTTTCTCTATTCGCCCCAAAATATTTATTGCCAATATTAAAAGTTATAAAATCTCCTAAATATAGGTGACCATACCTAGTATATACCTTGTTCCCATCAAGAGATGATGATAGTACTGGCAATAGTTGTTACCAACATGATAATACAAAATGCCACATCATCCTCAGCTGAATTAACTAGATCCCATGGGACATGCGCAATTATTGTCTGCAGCTAAGTCAACGTCAACGGTTGAAATTTTCTGGTTACAGTCTAGATAGTAGGTTGAAGTCGTTCAATTCGACAAGGCCTGTCAGGTTAGGTTAGGGTGCTTTGGAAAAGAATATGACAAACTACTTTTTTTAACCAATTTCAATAATCGTCGTTTTCGTATTTTTTGATATATGAGACTTCATAACAAAAATCGAAAAAAGAATAACCACCTGCGAAATATCACATCGAGATATTCCACATTGCCAGTTAGTTTAATAAATATTTGTACGAGAACTCAAGATTAACGGAATTGTCTAGAGGACGGCGAAGTTTGTTGTTCTAAATCATGTCATTGAATACGTTTTGCTAGTACAGAGTTGCTTCAAATCTGACACTAATTTTCTTTATTATATTTGTTTCAAATTTGACTCATGTACCTCAGAGCCCAGGGGCTCTAACCGTCTTTGACCCTGAGATAACAACCCAATTTTTTTTTCAAAATCTTGAAAACGCAATTGAAGTTAACCCAAGAATCTTCAGAAAAGATCGTCACTATAAAATGAATTATTTTCAAGGAAACCGCTCTTCCACTTTTGGTTGCACCATGTTGTACTGAATGAATAACTCACTTTATATCATTTTCAACCACAACAAGTTGCCTTGGTAACGAGTTCCGGAACTAATTATTCATAAACATGTTTCTATAGCAACTCTGATGCTTGTTCCCGAAGCATGCTATTGCTAATGAACTGAGTCTATCAATAAAAGTTAAGACCCTTTGCTTCCAGGAAATTTGGGTTGAATTAGAAGAGTATCATTACCTACACTTGAAAATATTTATCAAGAAAATATCATTTGGAAAAATAAATTTTGACCACTGTACTGTCAGTTTTCAGAATAATGTTATCCTCAGAGTTTGTTGTTCATCATTCCAGGACACACCCTGTATGTTGACTAAGATATCGATGTAGATAAGTTACCATAGGTAGAACGGCAAAGGATTGTATTTTCACAGTTTATCATTCACTTGTGAACTAATGAATGAATCAGTGAGGCACTGGAAAGGAAAAATAAACATGTAAAATACATTTTTCCAACGCTATCAGTTTCCCTTCGAAATACTGACCAGTAGAAAAAACTCCGCTAGATGAAGTTGGAGTTATCCCAGCAGTAACATTTCGGTTGACTCCTGAAGTTCTACTTCTAGAGCCTCTTGGTCGTCCACGTTTCGATGTTCCTCTACCCGAAAACCTCGGCTTCACAGTTGTACCATAAACATTATATACAGTGTATTCTGAAAAAAATAACATCAAGATTTTCATTCCAAAATATATTCATGGTGATGCAACATCAAGGTATCTGACTTGGAAATTTCGAGCAATATTGATAATTCACCATTTGTACTGAATTTTATAAAGGAATAATGAAGTTTCAAAGTTATTGTCCTATAAGCAGTAACTCCAGAATATATCAAACCACTCTCCCGATGTTGATAGTATCTGTAATAAGTTATCGAATTTCAACATGATTTAAATATATTTCAAAACATGATTGATTGCTTGTTGTCTAATGTCAATGATCTTCCAAAACATAAATGTAATTGAAATAAACCTGTATATATAGTTGAACAACTATGAAATCCTTTGATGATATAAGTAATGTTTCATTAAAAATTTGTGAATAGTTGTTGAGAAACATTAAAATTGATCCCAACAGCCAGATAACCTCCAAAGGACGTACATCTGGGACGAACAAGACGTCCTGAAGACGTCCAGTGTCGGTCGAGAGACGGGGGACGTCCGATGTTACAAGATAGAAGAGAGTGAATGTTTTGATTGGTCAGATATACGACAGGACGTAGAATGTGCATATAAATTCATCTTTATATCCTTCGAAATCGGCATCCTATAAAGATTGGATATACATTATTCAGGATGATAATATGCCAACATTGCCAGATTCACTTCAATTCCTCCACATTGTTCACAAAAAATCACTTTTCGAACCCGAATGAACCTGTCTCGTGAAAGGATAGGTTCATTCGGGTTCGGAACTATTACGGTTCTAGAACTGTCAGGAGTTTGTACAGTAGAATCGGTCGCGTTCGGGTTTTGTAGAACTGCTCTAGAACTGACTCTTTACGCGTTCGGGATTTTCCAGAATCGTCCTGGGACGGTCTTAGAACTATCCGAAACCAGTACCTGCTCTCGAGCATGAGGCATGAACCGTTCTAGGATTATTTGTGGTGCATGCTCATTTCATTTAGTTTTCGATTCGGTCTGTTGTAGCGTAACGTCATAATGATATATTTTTGTTTACTCTACTGTTTATTGCTCTTTTCTCAATATGATGGAGTTAGTACATTCATTTGATAGTAGTAGATCTTCATCTTCAGGTAGCAGTAATAAAGGAGTTACTTGCTGAAGTTGCTGAAAATATTGTACCTAATCTAATAATTCTCGAACTTTTGTTTCAGGTGGGTGTCGAAATTCATGTAGGTACAAGTGACAAAACATATTGAAAACTAGCTACGACTGCTATGATGGAATATATTCACCATTTCTCCACACAGAGATATTGTGAATAGACTCAAAGGACAGTTTGAAGCTTCAGAATATTATTCGAATAGAGATACAGGTTCCAAACTATTGTTTTTTTCGCAAATTCTGAATAAAGGTTATGTTCTCAGAGGTTCTCTTCTGCCGCGTTCGGGTTATCATAATTTGTGAACCATTCTGAAACAGTCCTAGGATTCGAAACGACTGCGCACTGGTTCTACGCAGTTCGAGAACGATTCTTGAACATTCTGAAATCGCAACCCGAATGAACCTACTGTCTCGTGAAAGGATTATATACTGTGGTTGTACTCACTATTGGTTATTGGCGAATCAGCGTCATCGTTGTACCCGTCGGTGAGATCGTCCGTCAGGAGGTCCGAGTGGACGCTGCCGGGACTGTTCGGACCGCTGTCGAGGACTGCGCCGTTGCCACTCGCCGGCTCCGGGCAGATGACCGGCGCGGGCTCCTGCTTCGGCCTCTTGGCCTCCGGCAGGCTGCTGCTGGCTATCGTCTGCAACAAGGATCGACGCGTTGATGGACAGCAACGGTTATAGCCGGTGTTGCCAATTGGCGGGAAATTTCCCGCATTTCAAGAAATCCGAACGGATGCGGGAAATCATTCTCGGGGAATTATGTGGGAAATCGTATATGTCCACTGACCACTGACGTGAAAGTTTGTGTACAGGGTGCGCCTCTCAAAATGGAACCCTCCCTTAACTCTTTTGTTTTCAGAGATGTGAAAAAATGTTGAATTGAACAGTTGTTTCAAACGGCTCGAACTTTTATTTCGTGAAGTTGCTTCATATACAGAGTCATTCGTTTTTCCGGAACGGACATTGACTTTCATTTTTTCAATGGAACACCCTATATATTTTCTGACATGTCCATAGAGCCTTTTTTTCTGATCTCAAAAATATATATGAGTTGTATATTTGTATGAAAAATAATTGAGTTATTGATTATCATCCATTATATCCATACGCCAACTTAGGAGCAGCACTGTTATTTGGAATGCAACAGTGAATCATGCAGAATCATCTCCGGCTGAGGCTACGAAAATCAGAATCTATAACTCATTTTATAAATAAAAATTCTCTGCTCTGCCGGGGATCCGAACTCAACAACCTTTCGATGTTCTGATTACTAGTGGAGTGCCTCAAACACTGCGCTATTCCGCCGTACGTTTTTTTCATTGATAACAAACTGTATAATTGCAAGTTAACTGGACGACATAAAACAAATCTGAACTGTTGTCTTTTTACTAATAGAATTCAGATCTTAATAGCTGTTAGAGATATATTTTCGTTGCAGGCGCATCAAATGGAAGTCGGTTGCCTGATAATTACAAAAGAAACACAAGAATCATGAAAAATGCTGAATAATCCTATAGACATGAGTATCGTAAAAGGTTGATGAAAATTAATAAGTAAAAAATACCTTATATTGCTGCTTTCTCTTTCTTTCCAACTCTTTATCCTCAGGCGGGTTTTCGATCTTCAAATGATCTGAAAATAAAATGAGGAGTGAAAACTTAAAAAACCTACTTTTTAACTTAGTCATTTTCACTTACACTTATGTACGAGTTCATCGTCATCAAGTAGAAGGGAAACCACCTCTTTTGGCTTCAGCGTATCAGGTTTGAAGTTACCTCCACTTATGACCAATTTTTGGATCTGAAAAAGTATTCATCAAAAACAAATCCACATCTATTTACTCCAAAAACCTCACCTCGCTCTTTTCTCTTGCCCTTTGCAAGATACGTTCTTCGATAGATCCCTTGCATATCAACCTGTAAACTGTCACCTGTTTGGTTTGACCCAATCGGTGAGCTCTGTCCATAGCCTGCTGATCCACCGTTGGATTCCAGTCACTATCATAAAAAATAACCTAAAAGGGAAAAAACAGTGATGAATATCAAAGAAAAACAACAAAAACACTCGGTCGGTGTTTTAATGGTTTTTCTTTGAAAAATTGGACCCCTTTGGGATATTTGTCCATTTCAGCGATATATTGAGATTGACTGATAAACTTCGATCACCCTGTAAGTACTCCGGAAACACTCTAAGTTTCTGGAGTTGTATCACACTTTGAGTATTTTCTGAGTTTATTGTGGTATTCACAAGAGAACTAAACAAGTTTGATAAACTATGTCGAAAATTCAAGAAATACAATAGGTATGCATTGCAAACTTTATGTCACATTCATTAAGATTGTCATAAGATCATTGAAAGCAGACGTCGTTTTTTTCAACGAGAGATATTCAAAACAGAAGAATAGTTTCCCAATAGTTCTTGAAAATTGGGCCTAGCCTACTATGAATCATGCAATTGAAAGTCTCATAACGTTCTCATAAAAAATCTTTTGTAACTCAAATTTGGAGGTGGATATTGAAACTGCCTATATAAGTCTAAGCAGCATTCAATCGTGTATTCCACTATTCAATAATATACAGGGCGGTTGAATCTAAAATTATACTTTCAGAGATTTAAATGACCTCTAAATGTCAATAGAATTTTGATCACACCGTACAACTTCTGATGAATTTGGAATAAAAGTAGGTACTAGTGCTACTCAAAATGTTTCTCAAAAATCGCAATAGTTAAGAAACGGAATGTGATATACGTAGAATACAAAAATACAATAAAATCAATGCCACTTCTGGTAAATATGTAGTTTTGATTATCACGATTTAGTGATTTGAAATAAAAACTTCTTTATACTGTTTATTTAGGAATATACAACGCATACAGTTCCAAATATTTGCTAATATCTATTCCATGTTTGAAAATCATTAAAATTCAATATTACTTCATCATTCAAATACTCAAGACTCATAAAGAGGATATATATATACACTGTGATATCATCTTCATGGGCAGACCCAGTTACAGATTGACGTTTTTTTTTTATTCATAAAAGGACGAAATGATCGTCCTGAAATGACGTCTGAGAGTCGTCAATATGTCACAGCCACAGAAATATTTATATAAGTAAAAATTACATCTCAAAGTGAACGATAAAGGACCGAATAACCAGAATATCCTAGGCCATATATCAAGACCTATCAAGACGCTATCATCATTACCCATCTCCATATGAGTATATCGTTAGCTGATCATATTTGTATCTGAAGATATTGGCGTCGGCGAGATATTAAGCGGGCTAAGAGCTGTTTTATAATAATGAAAGTTTCACATTGTAGAGAAACGTATAAATACAAATTCAAATTTCGTAGAAACGAGAAGGAAAGTTTCGATTTTGTAGAACATTTAGTCCACCAGTATATTGTTCTTTGTTCTAAAATTGTTCTGATCCATCATTCGGTAGCCCCCTTACTAGCAACTATCAGAAGTCTTCAAGAGACCTTTTAACGTGTGATCCCAAACACTTAACGTCATGGATTGGCGTCATTCGTACGTAAATATGATGTCTTCTTTGGCCACTCTACTACCTTAGCACTTTTACGGGTACCAGTAATATACGTCAATAAAGTCATGGATATGACGTCAATATTTGTAGGTCATATTTTGGTCAGAGTCTTGGTGACCAAAAAATGACGAGAAAACTAACTTCAATATGACATCATGTCTTCTTAGGTCACTCTGCAACCTGATGGCCATAGTTTTCCTTTATGTGTGTCGATGACGATCCTATTCGAATTACAGCCGGGGAGCCAACAACCTAGTTGAATTCAACGTCATCAAAACTCAAGCCTGCGTTTTCTCTAGAATGGCAGAACTCAGTATGCCTGATATAACAACGTCTGGTGCCACCATTCCCACAAATACCACTATATCGATGGTCGGTATTTCCATCAGCAATAATCTTTCATGGGAAAATCATGTCCGATCCATCGCAAAAGCTGCTTCACAAAAGCTCGGATCTTTATTCCGTGCAAAAATCTACTCTACACCTGAACAGCTTCTCATGATCTAAAAAGCACTGATACGGCCAGTTTTAGAATACTGTTTTCACATTTGGGGCTCAGCACCCTGACATACGTTGATGCTCGTAGATTCCTTCCAGATAAGGGTCATCCACCGGGTTGGTGATGCCACACTCACTAATACTGTTGACTTCGTTCGTCTATAGAACGGCAAAGCTTTGGACTGCCAATGGAAGTGTTCCCAACTAAAGTTCAAAGAAAATTCCAACACCTACCTTTCCTATCCTCCCTAACGCATGATGTTCTACGAAAATAATAGAAATTTCCATTCGTGAGCTCCAAGAGTTAAAAAAATTCAAACCTGCGTATACCAATGAGAAATTTTAAATAATAATAATAATAATAATAATAAAAATGTTTATTGAAGTTCCAGAAATATACATAAATATATAATGTAGATAAATAAAGAAGAAAACTTCGGAAGGCTAGAATATTGGCTGAGCCATTTTTCAATTCCGCCTGTAGTTAATGATGCCAAAATTATAGGACATAACAACAATCTTTTAAGAAGATCTCATACAACATGCATATATAAATAAAAGAACAATCAACGAAAGATATACTAGTAATAATAATACAATAAGAAACTATGTACTCAAATTATCCGAAGTGTTGAGACCAGAACAACGCTATATGAAGATAATAACAGATTATAATGTTGATATTGATATTACGGCATTGTCATACAGGGTGGAGACTTTAACTGGAATGAATTCGCTACCAGGGGAATGAATGAATTTTCTGCAAATTCGCGAGACACGTCAACGTGTGAATGTATTTACCTACATTTGGTGAGCAATATAAGGAATATAACCCTTCAGGGGTAGCAGGAATCTACCCCAACTTGTTTTCAACCCTATGGCTTGTGACCCCTCATTGGAAAGCTGGTTGAAAGAGGAATCCAGTGTACTGATCTTATTTCAGTATAATTTCAAAGTTTAACCCTTAACTACTAATCATACGTCTCAGAGACGGCATATCAGCATCCGATTTGTTGGATTTCCCCTGCATTTCAATATCGGCCATTGTCCTACCACGTAAATTATGTCCACCCAGCACTCATTCAGTACCCTGAAGTTGATCTACGTATGTGGTTCAGTTTTAGAAATATCTTGAGTGAAAGATAGATTGCCGTCTCGTTGACGTATAGTTAGTTATTACGTAACAATAAAAGTTCAATTTCGCCTATAATACGTACGATTGCGTCTATATCTAGATATACAGGCATTGTCATCTTTTTCAATTTGCATGTTTATGACTTAGTTCTGTGCCATATTTCATTACGACTCTAACTGTATTCAGAATGACAATAATATCATCGATAATTTTAGTATTTCAATTTCCTCTATGAAATTTTGATCGCCACTGAAATTTGAGTTTCTATTTCAATTCTGAACATCATTTTCTCTTCGCCAAATATCAAGAGAACGTTTTTGAATAGCTCACAAAAATAAAATTAAAAAAAATTTGGATTTATATGGACATTTTAATAGTCCCGTCTGTGAGACGTATGGTTAGTGACAACGTTATAAATTTGGAACGTTCGTAGTTAAGGGTTGATATATTTTCAACGTATTTTCATCAAAATTTCGACTTTCAGTGACAGCGATATAGGACACTTCCACCAGTTTGCAATAACACTTCGTTTCGAACTGTGAATACAGCAAAAAACTGAATTTATTTTTGCGACTCTATAAAAAGCTGGAATACAATAGCAGATATCAGTTGTAGCAGAAAATTGCCATCAATTATTGTTCAACACACATTATGAGCGATTGATATGTTGGAAAAAAATTGATTTTAAAAGTACATTTCAATTTTATGCAACCTTTAAACGTATGGAAAACTGAAATTTGACTAGTATGCTGGATTCCTCTTTCCACCAGCTTTCCAATAGCCATATGGTTACATTTGAAAAAATCATGTTGAGGGTGGTTTCAGCTACCCTTGAGGGGAAATATATTCTCGATATTGCTTGCAAAAAGTAGGTAAATACATTAAATTGTTGACGTATGTCGGGAATTTACAGAAAAAATATTCACCTCCCCGCTAACGAATTTATTCCAGTTAACGTCTCCACACTGTATTCCCATATTACGAGAGTATATGTTGTTGCTGTTCTGATAACAATTTTTCTTTCAAAGCATTTTTAAATTTGTTATGGACCAAATACTTATATGTTTGTGATGGGCGTGTACACCTTAGTAGAACTTTTAACTCAAACCATGTTTATAATGATCCTTTTATACATAAATAATGATTGACGACATAATTCGATTGAAAAATTAACTGGAATGTTTCATTTTTGGACATAAATAATAGTACCTTCTGAAAATGGACCCTCTTATGACGTAGAAACCTCATCTCGTCATAGTTTAAAGAAAATACCAAACGCCCGACGGAGACTGAGGCAACTGAGTTATTAATCCTTTCAACTGTGATCTCACGCTCATTCACTCAGTCAGAAATCATGTATCATTCATCTCTGTCTGGAATAGTCTTGTTTCAGTATCAGGGTTTTGACGTCATATCATCGCCTCGTTTTCAGCGGTCCGAAAAATCGGGGATTTCAATAATTTTTTATAAAACGTAGGGAGCTCACAGCAAGAAACGGTTTGCAGTGGTGAGCTAGTTTGGGTGAGTTCTATCGAATTATGAAATAAAAATTTCTTGTGATATAAGCCCATTGTTTAGCAAAGCCGGAGCAACTAATTCTAACCATTTCTCAAACTTTGTTGTATTATGTCTGGGCATTGAGTAGTCGTCTATTATTGAACACTCCGCCACAAATATTTGAGATAGGTAAAACCGAGTAGATTTAAATAACGCCGAAGAAATTTTTCGTCCGTTCTCATAGTCGTCGTCCCATAGACTTCGGCAAATTTTTGAAATTTCTCACGAAATCTGATTGTCGTCCCGACAGACCGCTACTCAATTTATG